AAGAGAAGATCTTTTCTGATTTTTCCAGTCATTGGAAGACCAGTCCATAAATTTTTCCCCATCACTGGACCCCTTTATGGTTTAGAAACTGTCCCAAACTTTCTCATGCTCAAGTCTTCGCCGTCCACTTTTCAAGTCAACTGCGTGTTTTGGAGTTCTGGGTTTACAGGGAATATGCAGCATCACAAATAAAATAAAAGTTCAAGTATTTTCAAAGAGTTCTTGTGTTTGTAAAATCTGTCGCCAGTTAGTGATTAGTTTTGAGAATGTCTGGTGTGTTTTATCTTGTGTTCTTCTTATCTCTCATCTTTTATTCTTTCTTTGCTCAAGAAGAAAAGTGCTCGAGCCCAAAATGTAAACCTTTCAATTGTGGAATTCTCAACGTTATAGGCTTCCCCTTCTCCAATGAAACGTATCCTGAGTGTGGATTCTTAACGGTAGAGGCTGCAGAGAACAAGTTCCGAGGATTCGACTGGGGAAGGATGGACCAGAATTTCATGTTCTGAGCATCTCTAAGGATAATACGCTTACGCTTAGACATGATGAAGGATTCGAGAAGCTCCTTTGAACAATCGTCGTTGTGTTCAATACTTGCAAAACTAACCATTCCTAGCTCTCCTTTTTTCTCTTTGAGTAATACCGAAAACAAACCCTGTCAAATGTCCCGGTACGTCTTATTCTGTCCCAGAAAATTATGATTCACACTGCAATGACTCCAGCCACTCAATTATCTACTACAAAGGCTCAAAACCTGGTGGATACGAGTTCCTCCGCAACAATGCTACTTTTCTGTTCCAACGAACCGGAATCCAAATGGTCTTAACTTCTCGTTTATATACTGGTTGGTTCCGTCTCAAGTGAAATTAAAAAGAGATTGCTAGATTGTCATGGAAGAAAAGGGCAATGTAAATCGATAGCATCGGAAATTTTTATTGTGCAAATGCAAAAGGTATCACAAATTATAGCAAGTTATATAAAGGATATATTGTTTGGTTCCTGATCGAATCCTTGTTTAAATTTAACTTTATAGCATGCCAGAAAAATAATTATTCTCCTTGTTTTGATTGGTCCCTCATGTGGGTTTGTACTTTGGATGATGCGATAACTCTTCTCTTCTTTTAAACTAACACTTTGTAACTACTTTGCAGATGGGAAAGTTTTGAACTGGGTCTAGGAATAGGTAATTTACTCTTTAATCAAGTGTTATAATATGCATAACCAGCTCTGTCTCATATGCTTGTTAACCTTAGATGATAATAATATTAGATAAAATTGCAATTCTTGTCTTTGCTCATTAGGTATGGAATTGGAGGATCTCCTGATAGTGGTTCTGTTAATGGTTCATTCGAATCGTCGTAAGAACACAAATATGATAACTTCAACTCAAGATACACTGCTTCCAATCCTTCCTCCAACTCAGAGCTGCAACTAGGCAGTGTCTATTATGGGGTCCCTATCTTCTCCTACCTGAACTTGCAGAAGCTACCAATAATTTTAGTGAGGCGAATGAAGTTGGAGCGGAGGTTTTGGAACGGTATACTAGGTAAGAGATAAACTCTTTTAGTTCACATTGAATGTGTATCTATTTCCAGAGAAAGAAGAAAAAAAATCTAGAAGGGCTTACTTAACAGTTCTAAGGCCTATTACCCTTTTAATCAGCAAAACTTCGCGATGAACGGAAGTTGCTGTCAAGCGTCTATATGAGCACAACCACAGAAGCATCAGCAGTTTAGAAAGAAATTAAGATCCTCACACTTTGCGCCAAAAAATCTGGTCTCCTCTATGGCTGCATCCTTTGGACAGTCCGCAGGGCCTCCTCCTTGTGGAGAATATGTAACAATGGAACTGTTGCAGATCATCCATGGTGATCGAGCGAAGCCTGGTCACTCACTTGGCCTATCGTTTGAACATCGCCATTGAAACTGCCAGCGCACTTGGTCTATCTCCATGTTCTGATATATACACCGTGATGTCAAGACTCAAACATTCTTCTTGACACAACTTTGTGTAAAAGTTGCAGATTTTGGGTTTCGCGATGGTTCCCCAATAATGTTACATGTTTCAAATGCTCACACGGATCTCCAGGCTATGTTGACCCTGAGTATATCAATGTACCGCTAACCGATAAGAGGATGTTTACAGCTTTGGAGTTGTTCGATTGAGCTCATATATCAATGCTGCTGTTGATATAAACAGGCAAGACATGAGGTCAATTGGTAACTTTGCCATGAACAGGATTCAAAAGCGTGCAACTGAGGAGCTGATTGATCCATCTCTTGGATATCAGTCAGATGCAGAAGTCAAAAGGATGACAACTTCAGTTGCAGAGTTGGCATTCTATGTTTGCAACAGATAAGGAAATGAGACCTGCCATGGTGAGATCTGGAGGAACTGAAGAGAATTGAAAGTGGAGAATCCAAGTTGAAGAAGTTGCAGCAGCCACCAGATTGTGACGATCTTGCTTGATGAAGCACATCCAGTGCCATCCTCACCCATTTCTGTGACAACAAATGGGTCAGTAGTGATACTACATCTAATGTGAGTGGTTAAGTTTTTGGCTTACATGCTAAATAGTGTGATGAACATATGTGTAAACTTCACTTGCAGAGGTGTGTTATGTGTAAAATGGAGCTGTTTCTTGTACTTCTTTTTAAGGCTCCTGTAATTTGTTAACTAGTTTCCAGTTTGTATTGTGAAAGCGATTTTATCTTCTTCACTTGATATTTGATCAGAATTTCATTGACACTATAGCAAACACAGATAACTTCTTGTAATTGTAATGTGACTTTGGGTGAATTAGTTTGAGAATCAAAGTTCAGTCCATTGGGAGATAAATTCCTTCTGATAATTCTAGCAATTGCAGTTGTATTCAGGCTTTGCATTAGCCACCACACCAGAACTGGTAAAGACAATCGAAACCAAAAACAAAGAAAAAAAATTATCCAAAATCAAGACCTTGCTTACTGGGTGTGGAAATCGGGTAACCGGACCGGATATACTATTTTAAACCGAACGTTTTTTTTCAAAGATAATCCAACTAAATCGAACCTAATTATCTCTTGAACAGTTATTTACGAACTGATAATTCGGTTTTGTTACCTTAACCGTTTTATAAAACAATCCCCTGTTACCCCACTATTTTGGGGGTCACTACCCTCACCAACTTCCTCGCATTGTCAAACCACTAAACTCCACCTTCCACCCCATCAACTCATTTAAAATCATGATATCTAAACTTTGTTGGAGAGTGCCTTTTAGAGAGAGAGAGAAATAAGAATATAGTTGAATAAAACAGCTGAAAAACTTAGAAAGTTGAAGAGACTAATCAAAGAATTTAACCTTATAACAATGCTATTGGGTGTGGAGGCTGCAATCGATTGAAATGGGGGAGAAGACTTGGAAAAAGAATAAAGTTGATTGTGATGGGAGATGAATGGGAAAAAAATTGGTCCTGCAGCTACGACTGCGGTGGAAAGTTGATTTTTGAAAAAAAATTACACTTAACTCAAAACGTGGGCAAAAGGTGTGTTTGTATCGTAGGAGAAGCAGCAGTAAATATAAGAGGAAGGGGTTTGATGTGAGACGTGGTTGGGTATGAAACGTCAAATCTCCACTCCCTACCTCTGGTTGTATGTAAATTTTATAAATTTTTTTGGTGTCTCCAAAACTGAAACTGAATGGGTTGTTTTGAAAAACCAATTTTTCGGACCAATTTCTCAATTTGGTTTTTTTTTTCAGCCCTACTAATTACCCATAAGAAAGTATATTAAATCGAAAAGGTGTTTCCTACTAGAAAAGATTTGAACTAGACAAAAACTATTACATCATAATATGTCACACTATAGGTCATTGCAATTTCTCGCACCAACGAGAAGTACACAAATCTCAAGAAAAACTTATGCAATGGTTTGTAATAAATCAATAATATGATGTTGAATCTGAGAAGAATTAATAATAACACAAACAAATAAATAAAAATTAGATGAAATGAATTTTTAAAATAGTTTGGATATAAAACGCAAATTCTACTTTCATTGTTATCTTATTGCTTATCTTGTGTGTTTTTTGTGTGTATAAGTACTATTTGCTCTCAAACGAGGCAATTACCCTCTATTAGAATTCCCAAATTTCAAATCTTTTTTTTGGGATGGGAGACCCCTTTTTATATTGTTACATAGATGAACTTGCATATAAATTTTGGAAACTTTCTAGCAAAATAATCCTCTCACAAGATGACATATAGCCTAAGAGACAACTCAGTCTTAAGACTTGCAAGTGAAACAACTTGCGATAAACTTATAAGTGAAGTAGTTTTTTTCACAATGGGACATGCGACCTAGACAATTGTATAGTCATGGGACACGTGGTGCGAATCCATGCTGTATGGATTCACCACATAATACTATGTCATATTTTAATTTAGAGTAATACTACAGTCATCAAAAATAGCGTATCGAATTCATACATCGAATGACGTGATGTAATCCTAATCGATGATTAATTATGAATTAATATTAATCGATGATCAGGATTACGCTATGTTATTCAATACATAAATTCGATACACTACTTTTTGTATTATTGTCCTTTAATTTAAAAGCGAAGATATATTTAAATTTGACATATAACTGATAACATATGAGTCTATGGCTTTTTAATTACTCTGACCGTCTGACGTATCAGATCATCATGCTGACGTGGTATCTCAGCATACCGAATGCAGAGAATTAAAGAATGTGGACCATATCTAACTAAACATAGCCCACTTGCAGGCATGCCAAGTCCAGTCTTGCAATATTCATGACCCAAATGGGCCTTCCACTCACGGGCCAGGCCGACTATAGCCCATTTGACACTTCCAATAAGACAAGTAAACTGTTGAGGTTCTGTTCTGCCTATTCTTTTCTTTGATTCTTTGAACAAAAAAAGGTGAAGGTGGAATTTTCAATGCACCAACACCAAGACAAGAATGAAGACTCACTCTGAATCATTTGATTTGGTCATTTAAAATTCTCTTGGAAAATGTATCACCATTCTCACTCTCTTTCCTCTCCTTTTTCCAATTCCATTCAAAGCATGCACCATCTTTTTGAACACCCTTCACAAGAAACAATACTCCACACAAATCCCATTTAGATCCTTTCTCTCTTTTACAAGTAATTAAAGCTCTTTATAAACTCTTGATCATTATCACACAGATTATTCAAACTCCAACACCCTCCTTCAGGATTTCCCTGAAAACTCTCCTCCACAACTTGCAACAATGGCAGCTTTGCAGAAGTTCAAGATCCTTGCAACACCATGTGGGGTTGTCCAGAGTCCCACCAGGAGCCCCAGAACGAGCCCACTGGTGCAGCTGCCACGCAAGAAGACAAGCTTACGGATGTTACTGACCAAGAGCACCAGCCGCCACTCGCAGAAACTACTGACGACGAGTCAGCAAGAAGTTGTGGTTGTTGATATTGAACGTGACATTTTGCATGAGAAGAAGAAGAAGAGTCAGAGTAACACTTTGAAGGATCTGTTTGTCTCTTCTTTTGAAGATGATAACGTTGACAATGACAAGGCTGGTGATGGTGATAATAATGATGGCACGGTTAGAGACAAGAGTGAAATATTGTTAATGAGGAAGTTGCAGGGTGGTTTGGTAGGTCAACCGGGTTTGTCTAGACCGGTTTGGGTTGGATTTAGACATAGATTGCTTAGGAAAGCTTGGAGGCCGATGCTTGTTTCTATTCCTGAGTAACCACAAATTTTGTTTTTTGTTTTTTTTTCATGGCTTTTTATTGATATTTTAACTCCTGAGTTGAAATTTATATATTTCGCTTCCTATCTTATATTATGTCTTATATTTGTATTACCTTATATTACATGTCTTATATTTTTATTACATTTTATGTTATAAACATGACTCAGACGGAGACATTTGGTTAGAACTACCTCTAAGTAGTTTAACGGTTCACTTAAGACCCTTGGATGTATTATTCAAATTTTTTGAGTTCGAATCCTTACGAATATTAATAAGGGATAGTCACTGAATGTTTACCTGACCCTTAACTTCAAGACTCCAAAGAACTAATTAAGGTGTGCGTAAGCTGGCTCGAACATCCCTAGATACCAGAAAAAGAAAATAAAAAAAAAATTTGGTTAATTTAGGGAAAGGGACATGTTGGCATAAGGGATTGTAATGTGTGGTGCTTTTCTTGTCGTGGGAATTTTTCCAAAAGTGCTTTGGAGAGGGACTTGGATTTCTTTAGGGACCAACCAAACACATGATTCATGATAAAGCTCAAGGATAAAGAAAGTATTCAAGCATCAGCCTGCTTTGCATTTGAATAAAAAGCAAAAAAGCATTATTATTCCAGGCCTTCTGGTGCTTGATGAGTCACAAAATTTCGGAAAATCCCCCTCTTCTGAACATGAAAAATCAGCATTTATCCCAAAGAAATTAGTTTTATATCAGCTTCATCTTTGTTCCTGAAGCCGAAAAAAAAAAAAAAAAGAGATTCCAATTCTGCAACACAAGAAACACTGATAGTTTTCCAGGAGATGCCTCTCTCTTTTAACTGCTTTGTACGACCAGAAAATTAAAACCAAAAATTCAACCCCACGCATTATTCCGTATTCCATCATATCATCTTTGCTAAAGTGGAAAGATTCCCATTTCTCCAGATTGAAATGAAATATTCTAATGACTCAGAAGGAAAATATTCGGAGAAAAAGAATTTGGGTCATACATTGAATGATTTAAAATTTTATACAACATCTGAAAAGAAAAAAATTGAACAACTGCACAAACAGGAGATAATGAAGCTAATCAACAAAATTCATTGAAAAGGAAAAAAAAAATACACTTTTTATTACCTTACAGTTAATTTATGCTGTTCAACTTTTTTATGGAAGAATTTCCCCAATAGGGAAGTAAGTTGGAAGAAGAACAAAAATGAATCAGTGTTTTGCCGTTAGCTGATCCTTGTTTCCCAGAGGAATTGAGGGAGTAATCTTATTTGATTGGATTTGTGATTGTCGCAAAATGGTGTCGTTTTCTTTGTCCCCGGCTCCCCTGTTTTGCGGCTGAGGCTTGACATTTCCATCAGGTTTTGGGTGCTTTTGTGAATGCTCTTTATCCAGGGGTAGAACCCGCTGCAAGAACCTTTGCATCATCTCATAACTGGTAAATGTAATTACGGCTGATGGAGTTGTTCTTATTAGATTTGTTGCACAACCTCGGTAGAAACCAGGGAGACCTTCCTTTTGGAACACTTTCTTGATGCAATCAACGACTCCTGCATATTGCATCCCAACCTTTCTGTTCTGCCCTTGCTCTTGCAGCCTTGAACGGATAACCTGGATTATATGAAATTCAGACATTACATGCAGGATAACGAAAATTAGAATGGACATTTATATACCACAGAGAGATTCTCAGGAGCCATCCACTGCCAGTAAATTAGAGAAGAGAGCCCAGCCGCACATACCTCATGCGGGTAAGTCATGACAGAAGCAAGTACTTTGGATACAGAAGAGGCAATTGCTACACTCGGAGGACTTAGCTTATCAACTTCTGTATTCTCTGATGACTCAAAATTTAAAATGATTAGCAAAACCTAAATATTATAAATCAAGGAAATATTCAAAATCTTCAGCCCAGAAGAGAACTAAACAGAAGATAAAGATCATAGTACCTTTTTTAGCCATGAAAGACTTTATTCTCTCGTATGCAGGAAACTGAATAGCAACATGACTAATCCCAGCCAACGAAGGCAGAATACCACTGTTTCAGACCATAAAAATAGCATCAAGAGACCAAAAGTATTGAAAGAAAGTAGTTATGTCAAACTAAAATTGTAATAGCAAAGTTTCCACAGAGAGACTAGTAAACTGAGTCATAACCAATTTCTTACTTCGATGCTCTGAAAGGTTGGATCCAAAGAAGAAAAAAATTCCAGATTTCACAATTTAGAAACTAAAGTACTGACCTATACAACCCACGAATCCCTTCTTCATGTGTAATCCTTCTCAAAGCAGAAAGTATGCTTTTGTATGGAACTACATCCGGCCTCATTCCCTGAGTCTAAAAGAGATGAAAAATACATGAATGCCCAAACTGGGACAACAATAATGGTATAAATGTGAAATACTCCATACAACAAGTAAAAAAAAATGAATGCCACTTGAACTATATCTGTAAAATCATTGAAGGAGTTTGATCCTCCAAACTCCATCCTATGCAACTTATAAATACTGGTTCCAGATGTGCAGCAAGACAGTGACAGAGAAGAATGTTCAGACAAAACAAAAACATAGTCCAATAACTAAAACTAAGGGGTGTTCTACATAAAAAAATTTCATGGACATGGCTATACTACCTTAGAAATAAAATTTCACCAATCATGCATGCAACCAAGTATGTTATAGACACAAGAACTGACGTCCTAGCTTTAAATAAATAATGATATTGCATACAAAAGATAATGCACTTACTTGGAGTCTGGTCTTAACAACCCACAATGGATTTGTTGTGAGGGCCGTGGCAGCCCCGGCACCAGCAGCAGCTATCATATTTTTACCGACTGTGAGCTGTTTATTGCTATCCCCTACAATATGTCAATATAGAATATCAATGGAATCAGACTCAACAATGTTCAAAAGTACTTGGCTCAGCAATAACTTGATTTAAGCAGCAGAATAACATTTCTTCCTAAGAATTCAAATAAAGAAAAACACATATTTTGTCAACTGAAAAAAAAAATAAACCAACCATTTGAATGGAGTTGGCCTTTAAGTTGCTCGTAAACTGTGAAGTATACCTACATATAAAATGATCACTCCTGTAACTTAGCAAAATTCTAAGAGACATAATAGTATATTCAAATCTTAGCTAAAAGACAAAAAAAAAAGTATTATATGAGAAGTTAAATTAAATCGAGACAGAAAGTTGATGCCCTGGATCTGAAATCGATTTTTGAGTAACATATGGGGTGAATACATGCCAGTGAAATTCCCAAATTTTTCAAACAAAAGTTGGCTTACATTCACCTAGAACGAGTGGTTCTTTGGGGAGTTATCCATAAATGATCTTGTTATATGATTATACCCTTTCAACCTAACAAAAACATTACAAAGACTAGGAAAGACAATCTTGCTTCTGAAAAGCCACAATCCCTTGGCCTCTTACTAATTGTTCAGAAAATTGGCTGAAAGCTGACTTTTGATGGAGAAAAAGGGAGGGTTATTTTCAAAACTTGCAGCATTTACTGATAGATAAAAATAGGTTCTAAAAACTTGAATGTCCTTTTTGAACCAATTACTAAGGGAAAAACTAGATTTCTTCATCAAAGTAATTCTCTAAAATATTTGACAAAAAAAAAAAAAGATAGGGTTGAGATAGATTTGGGAAACCACAATTGAGTAGCACATCATAGAAATGATCACATTCTTGGCCCTAGTGATTAAAAGAGAACCTTAGCATAATTCAACTAGAGAAAAAAAAAAAATTAACATAACAATCTAATATTTTTTAATAAGGCTTGTCTTTCAACAATGGAGAAGGGGTTTCAAGCAATCTTTGTTTTCCTTCTGGAAACAAAGCACTGAAAGTAGCACTCACTGCCCAATTTGGAAGTAATGCTAATATTGTTGGCGAGAGGCCACGATACATTCCCCTGAAGCCTTCATTTTTTAATATGTGCTGTAGACTAGTTATAATGACACTACCTGAGCAAAGAGAAAAAAGAAGCGCACCAATAAGAATACCAATTGTTGAAAGCAGCTAAAATCAGAAATAAAAATATGCATCCAAAGTATCACCAATGCAATTTTTTTTTTTTTCTCTCATAAGCAAAAAGCACCACATATTGGCATTAATAGAAATACTACTTTATAGATAGAAGCATAGTGAACACTAGGTTTCATGACCAGCAGTTTGTCCTGCACAGTTCCTAGTTGACTGCTACCAGCTTACAATTACAACAATTTTCCGGCACAAAACTCATACGGACAGTCCATCATTTACCCAAAATGTGAACAAAATTACAATCATCTTATTCATCTTACCAAGTGCACAAATGTCGCCATGTCCTCATCTTTAGATTTTAAGGAACTGTTTCATTTGAAACTCGATGACCAATGGCCATAATCGAGATTGCAAATCATCTGCAAACATTATTTCTTCCTCTTCAGAACGCAACTAGCAAGCAGCAGAAGTTTACTAATTTCACTTGACTTATTTTAGTTAAAAACTATACGAACCCTTGACTACAAATTTCAAACTCCACTCCCTACTCCAGTCAAACTAAATTAAAGCCAAAAAACTACACCTGAATTAACACCAGAAAAAAATACCAAAAGGGTTTAGAGAATTAACCTTTACGACCAGACTGAGGCCCTTGAGGAAGGCCATGTACTTGTAATCTTGTCTTGATCACATCCAAAGGGCACACAAAAGTCGCTGCAATTGCACCTAAAACAACACCAAAAACAAAGAATCAAGAAAACCCTTATAAAACCCTCAAAATTGAACACAAAATTCTCAAACTTTACACAAAATTCAAACCCCACCAAACCCCAAAAAAATGAACAAAGAAACAAAGAAAGTAATAAAACAAACCAGCAGAAGCTCCAGCAATAGCGTGGGCAAAAATGTCTCTTGTAGTTGGAAAATGAAACGATTCCCCATCTCCACTCATCTTCAAAACTCCCAAAGCAAAGCAGATCTATATCTATCTATAACATATATAAATATATATACACTTGCATCATATATATGCATATATATAGTAAGTAATTGTATATTTTTATATAAAGAAATGCTTCTTGTTTAAGCGGTTTCTGGGTTCCATTTGACTTGTTCAGGTTGAATTGAATTTGAAGATAATGGTGTTGGCTTGTTTGAAGGGGTTGAAACGTCAGTGGGTTCAGCTTAGGCAACTCTGTTGCGTTGATTCTTCTCTGTTCTGCACTAAATTTTGCGTATACTTCGGTTTGGTCTGAAGATTTTGAGTTCTGTTTTTATTCTTCCCAATTTCTTTCTTCCATAAGATACTGTAAATGGGAAAAGCGTGCGGCACATGTAATCAAAGAGGGAGAAATTCCAATATTAGCCCCATCTCCAACAAAGTTCGTTACATTTTTTTCGCATTTTCTTTCAAATACTATTATAAAATAAATATTTCGAACACGTCGTCATTTTTTCATATTTTCTAATTATTTTTTATATTGCAAAAAATAAAACATAGAAAAACTAATTCATAAAAGATCACCTTTAACATCGTGTGTAAAATAACCCTTAACTCAGATTCTAATCCGTAGAATAGTGTAATATGAGTTGAATCATGAACAAGGGTCAAGGCGATAAATAAATTGAAATGTTTGTCTAAAAGTATTAACAACCAAATCGAGGGGAATCCAATGCTTACCCCTCAGAGCCGGCGATGGGCCATATTGTATCTAAAAATTCAAGATTCATTGTGTCGTGAGCCATGCCATGTCAAGGCACGCAAAAATTCGTATCCTATCGTGTTGTGTCAACTCACCAAATTTGAAGGCCCACGACATGGCTCGTTATAAATCGTGGTATGCCTTGAGCCATGTCGTGGGGCGGCTTACATGATAATTTTGATTTATTATTAATACTTATTATAAAAATATATTATTTGTTATATTTAGTGATATTTCGTATTTTTATTAATTAAAAAATATATATAGTCATTATGAAATATAATAAAATTTTCGATAAAATATCGAGACATTGAAATATTATTGAATTTCAACATTTTTTATTACTTATAAGTTATAATTATAAATTAAAAATACAAACTTAGAAGTTCAGATTAAGAATTATTATACATTTTCATTTTTATTAATTTCTGAATTCTTAAAATCTTAAAATATATCTTAATTGTACACATAGACTAGTATTTTTTATTTTTTTTTTGTGTGTCGGCTCACATTCCTTTTTTAAGGCCCATGCACAGTCTAATGATTGTGGGTCATGCCGTGCTGTGTTTTTTGTCATGTCGAGCTGTATTTTTTGTTGTGTCGTGTCATGCTATGATCATAGGTCGGCACGGCCCACTGCCAGCTCTATTTACCCCTATTAAAAAATCGAGAGAAATTGAACTCAAAATTTTTTGAGTAACCTAAGAATCTTTATTGTCCTACCCGACCACCCAAGAGAGGTTATCATATCATTTTATTAATAATGTTGCGTGGACAAAATTAATTGTCGTGTTATGTGAGTATAACACAAATTTGGTGCACCGTTTATCAAATTTACCACTAGTCCTTGCTACTGGTCCAACAGTACTAATACCCATGCGATACTGTACTAGGCCGTGTTAAGGGTAAGTTGAGCTTGGTAAGCCCAACCGTTTGGGCCAATGAAAGCTTAATCCCAACCTGGCCCAATTATGAGGAGCCTTTCTTGGGCCGACCCAAAGCAGAATTCCTTGAACTTGAAAACAGCTTCTTTTTTATTTATTTTTATCACTTTTCATTTAAATCTATATAGTTTCGGTCTTTTAATTGATTTTTTTTTTTTTTTATTACAAATCATCACTTATTTTCAAATAAAATTACTTAACAGAAAAAGTAACTTAAATCTGAACAATGAAATTTTTTACAGAACACATTGATCAAATTACCTAATATACCCCTATGCATAATGAATATAAACTTATATAAAATATTAAATGAGTTCTAAAATTTATTTATTTAAAAAAATTTAAATATCTTGAATTATGTAATGGTTGGAATGGGCTTCCGAAAACCAGTCACTATTGTCGGAATCAGATGATAGGAAAATTTACGGCATGCTTTGGTAACAATCTAGGCATCAAAATATTCGTCTTTCAATTCTCTCATCTATTTATGTAATTGTTAAAGACAATAATTTTTTATTTTTTCCCAGGATTTGAAGGAGAATTCGACAAGAAAGCTTTCTCCGTCAGATCTCAAACAAAATACACATTGTTTGTGTTTAAAAGTTATATAGATTGTTAGATCTGACAAAGAGGATCATCTTGATACCAATTTCGCATCCTAATCTCTTCGAGACTTTTTCGGTAATTAGAATTTGACTCCGACGACTAGATTTCAGTGACCTATTAATCATTTTTAGATTACAATTTTTATATAATTAATTATACTAACCTACCCATAATAATAATAATAATCAACATAATTAATATTCGTAAGTTCTATTAAGAGAAGCTCAAGATTTAGGTCTTTCGTAAGTTCACATACATTTATAATATTCGAGTACAATGGTGTATACTTCAATAACATCTGCTTTCATAGAAAATACCAGAGCGCTTATATAATATTGGAGTACAATGGTGTCCAAGAGAGGGAAACAAAGATTTAAATTGAGTTGATTCAACAACATTAAATGCAGAACAAGCATCTTTTGCTACAAAAATTCCTTGACTCTAGTCTCCCATATACAAACAATCATCTCATCCTGCAAGACACTGGTGCTTGGAGACTCTGCAATGGCTTTAATTGCATTAAAAGTTTGGTGGGTTCTGATTTGAAAGCCTTAAAAGCTATCTAGCTGGTATTCTGAGCAAGAAAACCTGCAAAAAAATGAACCCAACTTGAGCTGTGCTGAGGCATCTTCAGCATCATCGTCATAATTATCACGACTGCAAATTTTCATGGCGGTCCCAGAGAGTTATGTGGTGGTTGATTTTCTGTTAAAAAAAATAATAATAATTCTGTAGCAAACAGGGCAGGCAAGTAGGGCCATGAGAGGCCCATTTTCACATATTTCTAGTTGCCAATGCATCTCGCTTGAGTTCAAAGCATGGAAATAGGCAAAAGGTTTTTGAATTATGATAGATCCAAGGCACCTGCTAACTTTGAGATTGAGATTCTCAGGATAAAAACAAAAAAAGTTTCAGGTTGGTGAAGGGTTATTAATCAATTTATGCAAATTGGGATCTATGCTACCTTTTTATCATTTTGATTTTCACTCAGAATCTTAAGAGAAAACGACTTTTCGTTCTTTTTTTTAATGATTTTATTCGGAAACTGTTTTCGAAAATATTTCAACTAGATGCGTTTTTAAAAGTTTTCGAAAAACTTTATTTAAATTCTGTATGGAAGGATAATTGCTAAATATTCTTTTGGAGATATACGAGAGATCTTGGAATTATACGCCATAATAGAGTTGGAGATAAGGACATCCATATGCCATAATAGGGTTGAAGATAAGGATATGCGAAAAAAAAAAGAGAGAATATTCAATATTACTTATTGGAAGGAATTTGATAACTTGTCTGATAATTGTATAGTTCTCACAACAGAAAAATACTAAATGAATAGGACTAAAGAAAATTTTATAATATGTTTTTAATTTTTTTTAATATCTAATTATTGTTAGGAGATTACGCAGTGAAAAATATACATCGAGATTAACAAAATATGAATAAAATCACACCATAGAAAGAGACATATTATTACATGGTTCGACATAACATGTCTGCATCTACGAATGAGATAAATTTATTATAGTTTCATAAAAACAATATAAAAGAGTACACAACACCATAAACTCAGTACATAATTAACAGAGCGAAAACAATCTTAGGATGCACTTAGTTCATTATTTTAATACTTTTTAGAATAATATTTTGAAAAAAAGTTAAATTTGGCGGTTATTACGAGGTATGATTTAAAAATTAACAAAAACATCTCCCTAGATTTGTTAATTTACTAAACACCTCTTGTAATAAAACATTGAAAATTAACAAAAACACCTCTACCCACCCATTAAATACCGGTAGTTGGCCACCACCGCCGAAGGGTGGCCAGAGTCATCGTATCAGTAGACGACCGACTAGATCTGGCCGATTGTGCGTTGATATGACCTTTTCCAGCCAGATCCATCATGGATCTAGCCGAAAAAGGCCAGATCTACGGTTAGATCTGGCCGTGTTTGATCATCAACGATAGCTAAAGATATGGCCGTCATTGAGGACTAGCTACGACCAAAGATCTGGCCATCAACGGCCATATGTTTGGCTATAGATCTGACTTTTTCCGGCCAAATCCACTGTAAATGTGGCCAAAAAAGGCTAGATAGGCGCACTACCAGCTAGATACAATCGATAGTGCACCATTATATGAGATTTCAACCACCTTACGACAGTGGGTCTCAGAATCGGGCAAATATAAGTTGGTGGGGGTATTTTTATCAATTTTTAAACTTTTTTGGGGGTGTTTAGTTAAATTAACAAACCTATGGGATTTAAAAATAATTGAATAAAATAGAATAATATTTTCAGAATAGGGAAACAAATGTGTATTTTAGATAAGATAGAAATAGGATAGGGTAAAAATTGTGAAAAAAACACACCTTAGTTTCTAATCATGCTCAATCCAATACTTAGAGTAACACTCTACCTGTAGTGTTTAATAACTCGTACATCAAATACTATGTGTTCTCGCATTCTCTTATATCTTTGAATTAGTTTTCACCCTATATTTATAGTTATGATATGAGACATAGTTATGATATGAGACATTCTATTTCTAATAGGATTCATATGTTAATTCATAATATAACTCTTATAATTCTATTCCTTGTATTCTTCATTAAATAGTTTTTTAAAGACATACAATTTTATATGGGAACAAATAGAAAACCGAACCACAATATCTCAACAATTTATAAGTATTATGTGTTTGTTTTTAAAAATTTTAAATATCTGAAAACTAGTATCCATTTATATATATCTTTTCAATATTATGATATATATTTATAGTTTGTATTACAAATAATGAATTTGATAAAATATAACGAAAATATTTTAATTCTGTAAATAATTTGATTTTAATTTCTTAATTGTGTGTATCCACTATATCTGCTACAATAAAAGTAAAATAGTAACGTGATTGGAATTTAAAAATTAAAATGGTGATATTTTTGGAGACGTTATTTAAGACAAATAACAAAGTCTTTAATATTCAGTTAAAACTTAAAAGTAAAAAAAAAAAAAAATAGCTTTTTCCCATTTCCATTAGGAAAAATATGACTGATTA